ACAAGGAAATTTTAGACTTTGACTTTTTTTTTTTTTCTTCTTCACCACGCGAAAAGACACCTCCAAATCCGGTGCGCTTTGTTCGCTGTAATGCTCGCAACTCCATCGGGGCCTGACTGGTCCTGCTGAATTAGCCCTCCCAACATGAAAAATTCTTCTCTCAAACTATCAACTGCATGGTGCACCTGATTTGGTCTCCGTCCTTCTTTTTCACCGTTTTCCACCTTCCAACGTCTTTCTTTCACCTATCCACCGTATGCTATCCACCGCCTCGGGCCCCTTGGCCCTTGGCATCGTCCCTGCATTCGTTATCTTCGCTGCGTCGTCCTAGCAACGCGACAATCCACTCCAGATGGGGTAAATGGCGAAAATGTGACCCTTCTGCTACCCACCGCCACCGTGCTACCATGCCTTGTTCTCCGCAATCCTCTCCATTTCTCATGTCCGTCTCTGCCTTAGCTTCACTACTAGTGTCCTACCACCAGTAGTCTCACGTGACCCGCACACACAAAATTTTCAACACCTCTACCACCACAAGTAATCAATTTGCTATGTTGACCAGAACGCTAATGCCCGGCTCGGGGCTCGTAGTGGGCCGTCTTTTCTCAACGGCGCCCCGTGCATTCGCTCCAGGCCTCTCAAAGAAAGCAAAAGACAAGAAGGAGGAGAGCAGAGCCCTCGCCAGAAGACTCGTCAAGAGAAGAGCAGAACACAGAGCTCCAGCCTCCAAGCACCCTCTATACATGGACGTCCCCACAGCCATGCGGTACTTGCGTGCTGCCGAGGTCGGCAAGGCTCCTGGCAAAACCACCGTCTCCGCCCACATCAGTCTTGTCCCCAGCAAGTCATCCAACCCAGTCCAGGGCAAGATCTTCTTCCCCAAGCCTGTCAAGGACACACAGGCACTTGTGTTTGTGAATGATCAGAACAAACAGGAGGCGCTCAGGCAGCTTAGTAGCGGAATCACCGTGGGAGGCTCGAGCCTCATCAGCGAGATCAAGGGCGGCAACTTTGATTTCTCCAAATACAACCAGTGCTACGCAGACCCTGACGTTTTGACCGAGATCAGGCAGATCGCCAAAATTCTCGGACCCCGTGGCTTGATGCCGCTGGAAAAGAGGGGCACTGTGAGCAGCAACGTGGTAGGTGTCGTGCAAGAGAATTTCGGCGCCCACTACTTCAAGGCTGGCGGTGAGGCAATTGCAATCCCTGTTGGAAGGTGCGACTTTAGCGACGAAGAGATCATCAAAAATGTGAAGGCAGCCTCTGATGCGCTCCATGAAAGTCAGGAGGGGCTTAAAGACCCTGTGGTGATCGGCAGATGCCATCTTTCCACGACGCTTGGGCCTGCCATTGTGATTGACTTCAAGAATTGATCGGACATGGAAGCGACTTACGATGTCCGATCCTCAAGCAGATCCCCATGTCTAGGTGGTTTGGCCGCCATTAATTTACAATTGAGACGTCCCTGGTATACCACTAGGGCGAGGCGCATGTACATAGAATAGCATTCTCCACAAGAAAGATCATCAGTACAGCGGTAGCGTATAGTCACCACAGGATCAGTACAGGTACAGCGAATAGTGCGTGCGATCCAGGGTTTACTTTTGCTTTTGCAGCCAATCAATTGCAAGACGGTTGCGTCACCTACCGCACAAACGCTTTTTTTAACAGCTGCAAGGGCTCTTTGGAGATCGATCGCGCATCTTACTACGACACATTAACCCCCACTGTGCAAACAGCAAGCCTGTAGAACGTATGTGGTCACTGTGCTTAGCATTTCTAGATGTCGGTGTCGGTACAATATTCAGGGCCGCACCGTAAAAGCACACCAAACAAGGGTCTGCTGTGATGTAACCCCGAGGACAGCTTTCTCCTGCAGGTACGCTTGCAAGCACACAATCTCTTCCACCGCATCTCCAGTGCTGGTTTACACAACCTTCCCTCCGAGCCCATAAGCTGTTATTTCCGTTCCGCAAGCCATCCTTTAGTATCTAGCGTTCTTCTCCACTCGCTGTCCCTATAATACTCCTCACATATCTTGCAAAATAGCCTACACCAACACATATCTATGAGCTTCGTGTAATGAGGCAGCCCGTCCGCAAATTCCAGCCTTCAAGCCCGTCGCCACTATCTTCAGGCGACGTGCCTGCTGCCCATTTACTACCGCCACCGCCAGCACCTACCAAAGACAATGTTCCATCGAATCTTCTTGAGAAACTCCTGACTTTCCCGTTGTTTAAGGATGCCCCAGCACTGTTCCACCACAAGGTCGCCACAAAACTCAAGCTTGTACAATATACGCCGCAGGAATACGTTCTCAAAGAAGGCGACCCGGCGCTATCCATGTACTGGATTCTCAAGGGCACGGTCAGCGTGACTTCCCCAGATGGTGACTCGGTTTACGCCGAGTTAAGCCCGGGAGCGTTTTTTGGCGAGATCGGCATCCTATTCAACCGGCCTCGTACGGCTACCGTCGTGGCCCGTTCACGTGTGCTTTTGGGCGTACTTACAGCAGACGCCCTCAACTCCGTTTTAAAATCGTACCCCTTGATCGAACGTCGAATTCGTGATGAAGCCCAGGAGCGGCTCGCTATGCAAGATAAGAAGAACAAGGCTGACATTCCCATTTTGAAACCCAGCAATCCGCCCGCCTCCGACTCCTGGCCCACTCAAGTTACTTCCACGTCAACGGCCCCAACCCTACTGATTTCGCCGTCACCCCTTTCTCAGATTGTTAGTGCTTCCAGAAGAGTACTGGTTTCATCTCCCCTTGTTGTTTCGTTGGATAACGTTGATCAAACCCTTTCCATCCAAGATTTCATCAAATCGGTTCCTATCTTCGCCAACCTACCGTCAGACCTCATCCATCGGCTAGCTCTTGGAGCTGATCCACTAAGCTTCAAATCCTACGAGTATATCTTCCATAAAGGTGACCTCGGCTCAGATATCTATTTTGTGGTCGACGGTGAGGTTGAAGTCATTGATAATCAGGAGAGCAAAGAAAAGTCGGAGCGCTGTCTTGCACGCCTTAAAAAGGGCTCATACTTCGGGGAAATGTCCTTCTTGGAGCTCGCTCAGAATGGCAAGATCGTCAAAAGAAGCGCATCTATCAGAACAATCACATCTGTGGAACTTATTGTCATTCGTTCCCATCAGCTAGAGAGGATATGTTCGAAGTATTCACATTTTGTCGACGATATTAGAAAGACGGTATTCGAAAGAAAGCTCATGAATGAGTGCCAGGGTAACGAGGTAGGGCTGGCTCTGCCTATTGTTATTCCTGAAAGAAGACGCAGCATTGCAGTGGAGACAGTCAATCTGAGAGCTTCTCTGAACCTTTCACTTTCCAACTCGCGACAGCTTCTTTCGCCTGAGCCTTCCTTGTTTAATCCAAATTGGGGAGGCTTTTCTGCATTCGAGCCTCCTTCAAGACCGTCACGCTCTGTCTCACCTGCGTCATCAATCGACGTCGATCCTATTCTTGTCAAGAACCCGACATCTTTATCAATCGATACTACTGAGGAAATCCTGCGGAAGCGCAGAGCTATTTGCAGAAGTGTTTCACCTCTGCACCAGTTGCCAGAGGGCCCTCTCGACATCAATGTCCCACCAACTAGGTTGTTTGATCAAGTCAACAGCTTTCCCTCAAGCAGACGTCCCTCTTTTCAGTACATGCCCCACAACAAAAGAATAAAGCTTGCGAGTTTGGCGGGTCGTCGAAGATCCTCTGTCCTCGTGAGTCCGGGGTCGATTCCTGACAAGATTCTTCTAAAAGTTTTTGAATTTCTCGATTTACCTGTTCTTATGCGTTTGAGAGTTGTGAGCCGCCGTTGGAGACAATTGTTGTACATGGCGCCAAACATATTTCAGCGCTTGAATTTGACGCCATGGAACACAACAATCACAGATGATGCTCTTATCGCAATAACAGATTTTGTTGGTTCTCGTCCCCAGTATATTGACATTTCCAATTGCTTCCATATCACCGATGAAGGTTTCAGTTATATGGTCAATGAGATTGGAATGGCTGGCAACCTCAAGCTGATTAAAATGATGTCAACTTGGGAAGTAAGTGCTATGGCGATAATGGACTTGGCCTCTCCTTCTGTCGGTAGCCAGCTCGAGGAGATTGATCTTTCCAATTGCAGAAAAGTGAACGACAATGTTGTGCAAAGATTGATCGGTTGGTCGGACGAAACCAGAAGAGAGCTTTCAATTGGCGACCAATTCAACCAAGTGGGATCGAAGAACCTCAAGATTCTTAGTCTCAGCTATTGTAAAGCACTTACAGATGACGTGATGCATCACATAGCCAGCAATGCGAACGAGACTCTTGAAAGCTTATCTTTGACTCGTTGCACAACTATCACGGACGTCGGCTTCCAATATTGGACTTACAGGACATTTCCTAACCTAAAGCAGCTTTCCCTCAAGGATTGCACATTTCTCACCGACAAGTCCATCATTTCTGTTGCAAATGCAGCTCCTCGATTGGAGTCCCTTGATTTAAGCTTCTGCTGTGCCCTACTGGACACGGCGGTCGAGGTTCTCTGCCTTGGTTGCCAAAACTTGCAAACATTGGATCTTTCATTCTGTGGTTCAGCTGTGAGTGACTCTTCCTTGGTTGCCGTGTCATTACACTTACGCAATCTAGAAAGTTTACTGGTGAAAGGCTGTATCAGGGTTACGAGAGCGGGTGTTGATGCATTGCTAAGCGGCTTCTCCCCCTTGACGCATATCAATATTAGCCAATGTCGCAATGCACATGTCTACCCTGGAAACATGCCTGCCCAGACCCTTCAGGTCAATCCTTCCACCAAGTCTGCTTTCATCACCGCTGGACCAGCGAAGGACATTATTGAAATTGTCATTTAACCTTGCACGCTCGTTTTATCCGTCCCCTATGCGGGTACAAATTATGTCATTTTGTTCTTTTATCGTTTATTTTTGGGTTATTTTGTGTTATAGTGTGAATTTATTTGTATCAATGCATTTGCTCACTTTCTCTTCCTCCCTTTGCTCTTATCTTCAAAGTCTATAAACGAGATGGGAACTCCTTTACTTTTAAGATACTCAATGATAGTTGTACCGTGAGGCCCCTGGACCATCACCTCCGTCAAATTAGGATTGTGGACGCAAGGTCCAACTGAAGTCGACCCTGAGCATTTATTCTTGAGATCCTCTGCTAAGGTGGCGGGTTTAATGAAGAACTTCTCAAAGTCGACCACAGTCGTCACCTTTTTCCTGCCCAAAACTGTATGTGTCAAGATTTTTATCTTGGGGGGAGTGCCCTTGTGGACTTGTTTTGGTGTGTAATTGACCTCACCTGGCTTAAGAATGACATAATGTGGTGAATGATTTGCAGTGAAAGGATTGATGATCTTGTCTCTAGTGACCTTTTCCTCCTTTATTCCAGTTGCAGACTTGAGATGCTCATCAATTCCAACAAACTTGGGTTTCAGTTTGTCGACCAATCCTGCTGCGTTAATATAGTCATTAACGATACCTTTGAGCTCAACTTGGGTGTACAAGCTCTGAAAGTCCTTGTCAAGCTTATTGTACACCATTCTAGTTTTGCTGGTAGGTTTGTAAAGTGAAACGATGGAAAGCTTCTTATCGAGATCTTTCTTGCTTGGAGTAGTACCAGATCCTTTGGAAGAGTCGTTGGTACGGTGAGTCACGAAGTTAGCAAGCGTTTCAGGGGGGACTGTGATGCTGACTACGCTAACGTCATCGCCCTTGCCCTTAAGCTGTACGTACTTCTGCTTCTCCAAGGCCTTTAGAAACTTGGCACTTTTTTTCCAAGATGTCCTCTTGACATTACAATATTTTGAGTCCATCTTGGGTAAATTTTTGAGCACATACTGTCCCATGAATTGCGAAGCGGATATCGGGAGCTCAATTGAAGGATTAAGCTTCACCAGTTGAAGGAAAGCACGGTTAAAAAAGTTGTCGATGTCTTCGATCAGAAGCTCCTCGACTGTTTCAGATATCTCATCAATTGCGGCATCGTTACTATCGCCACTCTCTTCCTTGGAGGTATCATCGTTTGGCACTTCTGTGGATTCGCCGTTATTGCTGTGATCTTCTTCGTCAATCTCTCCATCGTCAACACCATCGCTGTCATCGTCGTCCTCGCCATACAAAGCTTTGAGAGTTTTGTTTAGACTGTCGAACGCAGAAGGAGAATAAGGTTCCACTGAAGTAGGTACCTCCACATCATTGTCGTATAGCTTGAAAAGCTCATCTTCGATAACGTGAATCACCGTCACTGCAGTGCCTTGACGACCTTGCACATTGTCAAACTGGGTGAGGTTGAGAGAGCAATGACCAATTGCCTTCACCACAGTGGGAGTCTGGTAGCTAGCAATTCCGACTAAGGCGCCTCTTGTTGCTCTCAGATCAAATGGAGGAATGCTTCCCGGTAACATGAGATTGGCATTGGTGGTTAACTTCTCGATGACATGGTTATTAGTGAGGATGATTGGTAGAATGCCACCGACTTGCCACATAGTATAAATTGTGGGGTACAATGGAGAGTCTCTTGTTTTGAACCAAACTGGTTTTTCTTCTGTGTCGAAGTATATTGTGCCCTTGTGGCCCTGAACGCTCTGGTAGCTCGCCTGCTTGATCGTTGCAGGGACGATCTTAAGCTCTGTCTCTTTAGGCAATTCTTCTTTATTGATGCCATATTCCTTGCAGACTGTTGCTAGTAGGCCGCGTCTTTCGGAAGACTTGATGTTTGATGACGGTTTGGGTTGTGGATCTTTCTTAAACATTCTGTGGAAGAAGAGAGTCTGAACTTCAACTCTTGCATGAAGGCGAGAACGGTTTGCACTTTGTTCGCGTAATGGACTTTTCACCGAATTATGTAGACTCTTGTAGAGACTATGACCGTGCCCAGTGAAAATGTTTCAAAGTGAAAATCAGAATACTACTAGATTCTTTTAAGAAACATAAGATCGATTTGAGTAACGAAAGCAACATTTGTTAACGTTTCCCTCCTCTCAGCATCGGTTGCAAAAAACACATACTTCACTTTCGCGCACCGTTACCAACCAGGTCTTTTAGCATAATGAAGAAAAGCCACGAGTCTGAACCCACCAAGACAGCTCGTAGGTCTGTGGTATGGATGATATTTGCCTTTGTGCTCTTTCTAGGAGTGCCAATGTTCATGTATACCACAAGTACCTATCGTGCTGTCTTGCCAATTGAGGACTTGAACCAACGCAGACAAGGGTTCGAAGAGGCCATTCAAATCAAGGTTCCTATTTACTTGAAGAGTGACAGGGATCTTGATCTTCAGTCTCTCCAATCCCAGGTTGACATTGAACTACAAAGAAAATGGGAAGTTAAGGGCAACTGGGGTGTGCAGTTGATTGCCTCAAAAGATCAAACCCCAGATGCATTTAAAGACTACGTGGTGGATATTGCATTCGACGGCAAGGACAGCCCAAGCTTGTCTCCCAACTCAAAAGCACTGACTATTCATGTGAACTGCAACGACTGTGTGATCAAAGAGTTGATCAACTTGTTCGAGATAATCTTCAAGGATGAAGTCGAATTTGTTATGAACACGATCAACAACATCAACAAAAAGGGGGCTCAGCACGAGATAGCAGTCCCACATGCATCCACATACAATGTTGTCTTCAATCTTCTTGTGGAAAATGGCATTTCGGTAGACTGGGAGATAGAGGAAGCTGTCTCTACTATGCAGCCAATATTCGACGTTTTGAAGCATTATACCAATTTCAAAGTCAGCTCACAGATCCAATACTACAGCAAACTCCACAGTCCTCCAGTTTTCGACAATACTACAAATCAGTACGTTGTCCCAACAAAGGATTTATCCACTTTTATCAACTATGGAGACTGGAACTTGATCACCCATGACGTGTACCCCACGATCAACTTCATTGTCTATTTTCCAGCAAGTAACCTGAAAGGTCATCCGCTTGTTTTAGAGCATTCGAATACGAACTCATTCATAGTTCCTCAGTGGGGTGGTGTCTACATCTACAATTCTCCCATGCCAGTTCTAGAGGACTTCACGTATACTCTCACGAAGGAACAATGGACGCCAATGTTTGATACATTTGCATCTCAACTTCTCGAGCTTATTGGCTTACCCAAGCAGCCAAAAAGTCTACCAATGAGAATCGACTCCTTTCACAGGACTATGGTTGTCAAGAACCTCAAGCATTTGTTGGAGAACCTTGCTTCCTTGGTGACTCTTTCAGAGTCATTGAATGAGATTTCAGTTCCTGAGTCCACACGCTCTCACATGGTGGAAAGTTTACAATTCTACAATGAAGCCTTGGTCGGACTTCGAGAAGGAAACTTCGATTCCGCAGTTGAGGCTTCTGCCTGGGGTTTAGAGAATTCTGACAAAGCCTTCTTCGAGAAAGAGATGGTTCAACAAGCGTACTTCCCAAGTGAGCACAAACTTGCAGTTTTCCTACCCTTGTTAGGCCCGCTCGGTGCTATTGTTACGTTCGGATTATTAGGCGTGATAAAAGAGCAGAGAAAGGAAAGAAAAGAGAAAAAAGAGGAGCTTCAGCAAAAGAAAGATTCTTAAAAGTGAAAATAAATATTTTATCTAAGTAATCTATATCAGGAGTACACAAATTCGTCCCCAGAAAGTAACAGCCCTTTTGAGGTAAGGTGTTCGATATACTCATTCCACAAGGGGTCACTTCTCAAACAGGTTGCATCTCCAATGATGATCAACCCATACCTTGCTCTAGTTAATGCGACGTTAAGTCTTCTTTCATCCTTCAAAAAACCCACCTTATTATCCTTATTGGAGCGTACGCAAGACATGATCATGAAATCCTTTTCTCTTCCCTGGAAGGCATCGATAGAGGCTATCATAATATCGGACACCGTGTGGATGGTGACGGGCTTAGAGGTGTCAAAAAAGTCATCACGATCAACATCCTCATGGATGACATCTTTATCTGGATTGATAAGGTCATTCTTCACCAATGTATTTGAAATTAAGTCTCTTTGACCTCTATAAGGCGTAATCACACCGATGTCGGACTTTTTGATGCCCTTGTCATAAATGAGAGTCATCAACACTTTTTCGATACTCAGGATCTCACCCTGGTTCGCGTAGGTCATACCGCCTTCGCTCTTAAATCTGCTCCAAACAATCTTCTCTGGTTTCTTGCCATTTGTGTCCCAAAAAGTCACAGGGTTGGCGGGGATTCCTTCCTTGATCCGATGCTCAGCCGTTATACCATCTTTGAGTAGATCGTTGTAGAACTTGTGTCTTGGAAATTCACTAATGGCAGGATGCATTCTGTATTGCGTATCAAGCATATGGGGAGTTTTGTAAGTACCATTGCGGAGAATTCTTTCGAAAAGCGATAATGAAAGGTTTGGAATATCTGAAAAGCTGCTGAGTTGCTTATGATCTCCGACGAAGACAAATTTTTCAACCCCATTCATGGAAAGTGGGATAAGAGTAGATGGTTCCGAAGATTGAGTGGCTTCATCCATGATAACAATCGGGATTCTGGGGAGAGCTTTCAATTGCAAACCACCAGCGGTGACAGTCGTCGTCAAGATCACCTTACTCAGAGCTATTATCCTGTTTGAAAAGTCAATGATTGATGACATAAGTTTCAGATATTGAGCCTTGGAAATCTTTTCATTCGGTCTTCTGAGAGCCTTCAACGCCTCTTGCTGATGGGCGGGTAAGCCATCGTAAACTTTATGATGCAAACAAATTGAAGCCAATGGATGTTCCTTGTTATATTCGATCTCTTTCTGCAAGGAAGTGATTCTTAATATCGACTTGCCGTGTTTCTCTAAGAGCTTTTCAGCAATATTATCGATTGCAATGTTGGAGGCCGCAACAACAAGAATTGGCGAGGTATGCATCTTCTCCAACATTTGCAAGATGATTTCGTGGATGGTGGAAGTTTTACCAGTGCCCGGAGGACCTTGCAAGACAGTGATTGAATTGTTCAAAACAGACTGCAAACCAACTTTTTGAGACTCATTGAATGTGTCCTTCGTCAATTGCAAGTAATTCTTGAAATTAAGCTGCTTCACCTCTTTTTGTCCCAACAATAGGTCTTTGAACTTCGGGTTCAGAAGCTTCAGCATAGCGAAAAATATTCTCGAGGTTGGAACTGAGACAGGGAGAAGTGTGAGGTAGTTGACATCCACCGCAGTCGGCAATGGCATCGTGTTCCACAGGTATAGTTCAATGGCCATTTCACAAACTTGAGGCCCTGTTGGCTTCGGACCTCTAGGTTTTCCTCTCCCCTTATAACCTTTCTTGAAGGAAGGCTTCTCAGGATTGAAGGTATCGACCATGGCAATCCGTCCGTACCATGGAATCCTGTCATCTAATACAAGAATCATACCCTGGTCTTGAGCGAAGGGTGTACTCTTAACAGCTTGCATATTCTTTGACATGTAGCGATCAAGAACATCCTGGGTGAGAAGAATTTGAACCTTGTACTGCTTGTGTTTGACGTCCTGCTGAGCATACCACTCTAAGACGAAATCTTCACTTTGCAAAACCGAGGTGTTGTTGTTCGCAAGAGCAGCCTTTTCCTCGAGGAACAAATTGAAGCACATCTCATTGTAGTAATTGGTCATATCACTATACTGAAGACGAGGCTCCGCTGATGGTTGATACTCGTAGATGCCATTGGGTAAATTAATAGGAGGGCGAGGTTTGGGTTGCACTAACTTGGATTCCTCAGTGGTACCATTCGTACTTTCAGCCTGTTTGTTAGGCTTACCGGCGGCTGACTTACCATTCTTTACTTCAGACCCCTTCGAGCCTTTGGTCAGCTTACCTTGCGCTTGATTCAGCTTTGTTCTCGACTCTGGAACAGGCCTCTGGCGAAGATAGTCAGACTTGTCTTTTTTCAGCACTGGGGATCTGGTACTACCTCTCAGAGAGGAACGACTTCCTTGATTCGAGTTTGCACTTTCAGATCCCTTGGCTTTGATAGTAGTACCCAGTTGAAATTGAGCTTTTGTGGCCATCTTGGCTTCGTAATACGCCTTCTTCTCCTCCGCATTAGGATCCACCTTCTTTGGTCTCCTGGGTTTGTCGCTCTTCTTTCCCTTACGCACCGGCGCCTTGCCCTTCAGCTTAGGTACATGTTCTGTGATACCAAGCAAGGCCTCCAAGAACCCTTGGTGGTTCTCTGGGATCCAGTTCATGCCCGAGGGAAGATCTTCAGTGAGACCACGACAGTCACGACAGTAAATGTACTTATTATTGCCTCTATTAGCCACCATGACGTTTTTATCGCTTCCGCAACGCATGCATTCGATGTCTCTGTATGTATAATATTGAGGTAACTTGGTGAAAAGGGAGCCATTTGAAAGGGAGTATGTTGCCAGTTCGGCCTCTGGGTCAGACAGCTTGGAGCATTCGGCACAACGAAGAGTGATGGCGCTTAGACCATATCGTATCATCTTCAAACCGTGAATATTGGTATCATCACACTCCTCACACTTGATGGTTTCGTCTATGTCATTGAATTTCACATTTTTATGCCTTGTGGTTGTGAAATGCTTACCAAACTCTTCCAGGCCTTCGGCCTGACAGGTTAGGCATGTGTACATGGAGTCTATAAAGTTGGTGGTTCAAATACAAGCGTTGCGATACGGTACAAAAGATTCGATTTGCGAAGAGTAGTCTGAAAGGTCGCGCAGGCCAAATGGGTGGCTGCCAAAAGTTGATAATGGTCCTCGGCAAGTTGTTAAGTAGGATTCAGTACTGCTAAAATCAAAAGATCTGGAGTATAAGAAATGATCAAATCGCTTTTGGATGGAATTCGTCGCAGAGGTCGAGTGAGTCTAGCATCACACGACTAGGTTTTGCAATCAAGAAGCACTCTTTTGTGGTAACGCCATGGTTTTGGTCCTATGCTTTGATTTAGATGAAAAATCATCATGACTTTTGTCGATGGTGGGAAGTCACCCGTCGGTGTGGGTCCGAAAGCACTGACTCTCACTATAACTCTCAAGTGCTCTTAAACCCGTTCAACGGTGGCTCAGCAGAACCCAAATATACCTTCAATGGCAAGATTCACAATAGTCTCAACGCACCAACGGTTGCATCAGTCCAGCCTCGAGTCGCGAGTTGGATTCTGGCCACAGCTCTTAATGCAAGGTATTAGACAGGCTGCAGAGAATAGGACAGTAGAAACCCATTTGGCCTGAATAGTGCGATGCCTGAGCCGCTCGAAGTGCACCGTCTAGAAAAAAGGCCCTTACAGCGCCGAGACCTACTGCCTTTCGTGATGTTTCAAAATGGAATGAAAAGAAAATATACATAAGACCGATCTAGATTTACGCGCCATCTGGACCGGACTTTTCTAGGGGTGCTTTCTCCGATAGATGAACTTGTGCAGATTCAAACCTTTTCAGACAAAGACAAAGGTTGGTTGTGAGCCATCTTAGATACAAGAATATGCACAAGCCCGAAAGGGATCCAAAAGTAGAAAAATGGAAGCCCCAGAACGCATTTAGTCACTAGATGATATTGGTAATTTTGCTTAGACGAAAGGAGGAAGGTGACTGGAAAAGTGTCCGCGCTTAAACTCGAACGATGCCTCAACGGTCTAATTTTGGTGCCAAGCCCAGGCAAATTTGCACATATTAAATTCTCGAAATTGATTCAGAGAATTTTGCTTTTGGGTTGGTAAAAAACAAGAAAATCAAATTCGCTTATATCTGTAGACGTAATTCTTGTCCCTGCTGTAGGCGGTTGTCGACATTACACTCCCTTTTCAGGAACGCGTCCTGCGTGGCTACGCGAAGGAATGTTTGTTCGATCTTAGTCTTTTTACCCGAGGCAACGGAACTACTATTGAGGGATTACACTGCTAAGATCAGCAAAAAAGACTGACACTTCAAATCATGTCTCAACCACATTTTTCTGTCTCTCTGAGCGTCTACTCGCCGGTAGAGAGCCAGCGCCAATCCACGTTTCCTAATGACCCCGTCATAGAAGAGGAGAATGAGGACGAGATTGACCAGTCGTCCGAGCTCTTTGGTTCGGACTTCAACGAGGAAGCTTCCCAAGGCTCTTATCATCAGCAAGCGGCCGACGGCAACTCCATTATGCCTGACACTTCCAGCCAGACTTTCAGATCCTACTACACTGCCACGAATGGCAGCGAACCAAGCTTCTCCTCCATCAATAACTCCTTGTTGAAACAGGACTCCAATGACAACACAGCAGAGGCCATTCCAGGCTCTATTGACCCAGACGAGACGCCACGCCTCAACTCTGAGATGCATGGCAATAATGATTCCATTTTTGACAAAACACCTGTCTTGAACACGAACGGCTTTTTCGAGGCACAGAATGCAAATGGCTCCAAATCCACAGCAAGATCCAGCGCATCCCAGCTGCAATTACCACAAAAGTTCAAGAGACTCTCCGTCACCTTGCTCCAAACCGGCTCCAACGTTTCCAGGGAATCCCACATCTTCCATAATAATTTCAGCTCCAATGCTCACAAAGCTCAGGCCCAAAACCAAGATCGGACAAGCAGAACCAGTTTGCTATACAAAAAGATTCACGAGAAGACTGATTCCCTACCTGCTCCTTCCACTCCAACCGATGAAGACACATCCGTTCTCAGCACCTCGTCCAACCTTTCCAGTGCGCCCATGCGTGCTGATGTACTGACAGATCCAGACCTTAGTCAAGATGATGTACCCCCTCGAGGTGATCTTCAAGCAGCTGCCAAACTTCAAAAGCCCGCTGGCGGCCTTAATATAATATATGGTGAAAGTGAGAATGGCGCTGCTAACGATTCAGGTGTGGATGTCCTTTCGGACAGAATTGACCCATCCAGATGGTCTGCTGCTTCCAGTACAACAGAGGATGAAGATATGTCCTCCCTTTTCATCCGGGCATTGCATTCTTTTGACGCTACTCAATCTCAACTCGAGTCCGAAAACTCTGTTTGCTTGTCTTTCGAGAAGAATGACATTGCTTTCGTCCACACGATAGACGACTCTGGCTGGGGTGAAGTGATTCTTATCGAAACGTTGGAGAGAGGCTGGGTGCCAATGAACTATTTTGCAATGGCTATTACCCCACAAGATGCTACCCAAGGCGAGGAGGTGGACTCCGATGAAATCAAGTTCTCGCATTTCATGTTCCCACTTCTAAATGCTTGTGGTAGATTTCTTTCTAATCCGCTTTCTAGAAATGGCCCTAATGGAAAGACTTTCTCCAACAAACATTTGAACGACATTAAGGATGGTGTTCGTTGCTTGCTCGATGAGACCGACTGCCTCTCGAGATCAAGTGAAATAATTGTGAAAAAGCCCGTCGTCCGTAAAGCAAGAAAAGCTTTCATGTACGATTGGTGGGAACTCATGAAGAAGGCTGCCGAGTACAAGGGCACCACAAACTTTGATAAGGTCGAAATCTTAACACTTTTTGTTCTCCTGGTTATTAGAAGAGGCGTCTACTTCTTTGACGTTTGGCTCACAGAGAGCAAGGACATCATCCAAAAAGAAGCCGAAAAGAGGCTTCGAAACGACATCAACACATATCCACTTCTTCGTACACCTCCCTTGGCGAAGCAGCGTGTGACAGAAATCAAGGGCATCTTGTACTCATACTTGTCCCTTATAATGGGTCGTTTAGACTTGATCGAACACAATCCTCAAGGATGTGAGCTACTTGAGAAGATATCTTGTCACATTCTACTTCTCCTTAGTGAGCTCCTATTTATCTCAAAAACAGGCCTTGAATACACTTCAAGCAAGTCTACTGAACTCGATGCTTCAATGGATGCTTTCATGTCATTTGGAGACCAACTCGTGACGTGTGTTAAAGTGCTCATCAATAAGACTGTTGGTGCTGATCAGGCATCAAGGGCATTCAGTGGTGAGAGCTCTCAAAACCAAGATTATACTTTCACTGCCGAAGGAATTCGCTTGAGGCAAGTTGCAGCCAGAACTATCAAGGCCATCAATACCAGTGTTCGCTCGATCAATGAGTTGTTCGACAATGTTGGGGATTTCAAGTTGAGCTCTGAGAGATCTTATCCAGATTACCTCAAAATGAGAATTGACCCTGTTGATTTCATCCGTCAATGCTCTGTTGGAATGGTTCAATCTCATTCTCTCAAGAACAAGGACTTGAGAGTGATGAAGAAGAAGAATGGCAGAAGCACAAACCGTTACTCCATGTTCAGATCAGGAAAAGCAGGTGGTCTTGGGATGACCCCTAATGGCGTTGACCTGCTTCACAAAGTCATGCTTCTTGACACTGACGATACTCCATTCGACGCCACCACCGCCGAATTTCAACCTTTTATTTCCAAGGACTCAGGTAAGAACAAAGCTTATACCATCAAAGACGAGCTTCTTGTTGACGCAAATGGAACATTATTGGGTGCCTCTTTCAAGGGTTTAATCTACACGCTTACGAATGAGGATTCGCCGCCACAATACTTCTTTATTTCAGGATTCTTCATTTGTTTGAGGAGCTTCGCAAGTGGCATTGACTTGCTCGAGGGACTTATCTCAAGGTTCGAAGAAAGTGAAGGAGAGCAAGATAACTCAGATGCCTTACTCGAGGTTCGTTTAAAGAAAAGAAGACGTTTGATCATAGCGATTTTCAAGATTTGGATGGAGTCATTCTGGAGCTATGAATCTGATAGTCCATTGTTGTGCACTCTTATCAATTTCTTCAATGAGGGTATTTATCCACATCTTCCTCTTGATGCCATGAAGTTGATAGAACTTGCGGCTAAATTGTCCATTAAGGACAGCAAGGGCAAGGATAAAAGGCAGCTTGTTGAGAGACATATCACTCTCAAAAAATTCGAGAGAAAAGATTCAGGAGCCGACCTCCGTGATCTCGAGGATACTTCCCGTTACTCCATCATCGAGGACAACGAGCTTTCCAGAATCAGCTCCAGTAGCTCTATTGCCAGTTCCTTGAAGTCGATGACTTTAGGCCTTTCACTTTCAGGTCTGAACCCCTCATCGGGAACTTTGTTGAGTAAAACACAACAGGCAACAGTTGAGACTACGGTAATGAAGTTTAGAGAAGTGCTTGGTGACGCATGGTGCCCTCGTCACTTTGTTGAATCGGCGGTACTTCATACCATACCCCTTAAGCCTATGTTGTCAACATGGTTCAATTTATGTGAAGAGAAGTGGGAATTGGATCAATACAGACCAAATTTGTTGGACTTCCAGGTCTTGGAGTTCTCCAATCAATTAACGTTGATTGAATCGGAGATTTACTGCTCTATTAAGTCCAGTGAATTGCTCAATGAGAATTACACCGCTAAGAAGGCGCATCTCAAACTTGCTAACAATGTTCGTCAATCATTGTTATTCACGAACTGTTTGTCTGGATACGTGCTTGAGTCAATTTTGCAACCCGGACTTACTGACAAGCAGAGGGTCAATCACGTCAAGCAGTGGCTTAAGGTTGGTTTCAGTTGTTACGAAATGCGTAACTTCAACTCTATGGTTGCCATTATTACTTCCTTGCAATCACACTTGATTACCAGAGTGAAGCGCATTTGGGAAGAACTTCCCCAGAAGTATACTCATCTTTACGAGTATCTCTGCAATGTGGCACATCCTCAAAACAACTTCAGTGTCTACAGAGAGAAATTGAGATTCTTTTTGGAAAACGGCGAATACAATTACCCTGTGGTGCCGTACTTTTCCTTGTTTCTCCAAGATTTGACCTTCGTGACGGACGGTAATCCCAACTACAGAAAGGCCAACACATTTTTGAACCAGAAGCTTATTAATATTGACAAGCATCTCAAACTCACGAGAGTGATTGCCGATATCGAGAGTTTGCAGATTCGCTATGTGGAAGAAGACGGCTCGAGAAGAAGATCTAGATTCTCACTCAACCTTGGCAAGAACACCACCGCTGACTTGAAGATTGTGAGTAACCCTGCATTGCAAGAACTTGTGTTACTTGAATTTTTCAAGATCGCTCAGCTCAATAAGGGTGAAGAGGATAGAGCTTGGAAGTTGAGTTGTGATTTGCAGCCTAGGGATACACCCAGGGTGAACTAAGTGCCGAGACTAGTAGCTGCTAGAGTGGCTGCGAAAACAGAGAGAACAAACGAATGCGTTTTCTCACGTGGACATGCAAGATAGAGAGAGGCACGGGTGTGATACACCAGGTAGGCCTGCGCACGGCAATGAGAGCGGTGAGTCACATTATCTAGACAGGTCTTTTATGCTTCCGCGCGTTATAAGCACAACTACAGTGTTATCTATTGGCCGAGGTGTAGGACCTTGGTGCATAGTGGGGTATAGTATTGAAAAATTTACTACCAGTACATCGCGAGTGATTCACACATAGAAACAACAGAGTAAACACAAGACAATGCTAGCCACTCGAAGCTCCATTATTGTCTCGAGAAGGCTCTCCGTCAGGACCTTGGCTACTAATGCCGATCTTGCAGCTTCGTTCTCGGTTCCTCCAGAGTACCAAGCCAGAACACCTCCCTATGCTAAGCTCATATCTAACTTGGGTGAGGTCAAGAAGTTGGTCAACAACAAGCCTTTGACTTTGGCTGAAAAGATCTTGTACTCCCATTTGGTGGATCCCCATGACAGTTTGGCTACCTGCAATGGTGACTTGAGTAATATCCGTGGTCAACAGTACTTGAAGTTGCACCCAGACAGGGTAGCCATGCAAGATGCTTCCGCTCAGACAGCTTTGTTGCAGTTTATGACTACTGGTATGTCAAGCACTGCTGTCCCTGCCTCGATTCATTGTGACCACTTGATCGTGGGTAAGGATGGTGCGGACTCCGATTTGACCTCATCGATTGCAACCAACAAGGAAGTTTTCGACTTTTTGCAGAGTTGCGGTGAAAAATACGGTATTCAGTTTTGGGGTCCTGGTTCTGGTATCATTCATCAGATTGTGTTGGAGAACTTCTCCGTTCCTGGTTTGATGATGTTGGGTACAGACTCTCACACGCCAAACGCTGGTGGTTTGGGTGCTATCGCCATTGGTGTGGGTGGTGCTGATGCTGTTGACGGTTTGACAGGCACCCCATGGGAATTGAAGGCTCCAAAGATTTTGGGTGTCAAGTTGACTGGTAAGATGAACGGTTGGACCTCTCCTAAGGACGTTATCACCCACCTTGCAGGTATCTTGACTGTCCGTGGTGGTACTGGCTACATTGTCGAGTACTTTGGTGAAGGTGTGGAGAACTTGTCTTGTACTGGTATGGCCACCATCTGTAATATGGGTGCTGAGATTGGTGCTACTACCTCCACTTTCCCATACCAGGATGCTCACCGTCGTTACTTGATCCAAACAAACAGAGGTCCTATTTCCCAGGCTGCTGATGTTGCCTTGCATAAGTACGGCTTCTTGAAGGCCGATGAGGGTGCCGAGTACGACAAGGTTATCGAGATTGACTTGAACACCTTGGAGCCTCACATCAACGGTCCATTTACCCCAGATTTGTCTACTGCCATCTCTGATTTTGGTACCAAGGCTAAGTCTGATGGCTGGCCCTCCGAGGTCAGTGCCGGTTTGATTGGTTCATGTACCAACTCTTCTTACCAGGATATGTCCCGTGCTGTGTCTATCATCACGCAAGCTGAGAAGGCTGGCTTGAAGCCAAAGATTCCTTTCTTTGTCACTCCTGGTTCTGAGCAGATCAGAGCCACTATTGAGAGAGATGGTTTGACCAACATCTTCGAGAGAAACGGTGCCATTGTCTTGGCCAACGCTTGTGGTCCATGCATTGGTCAGTGGGACAGATCTGATGTTCCAAAGACCTCCACATCTTCCAACGCCATTTTCACCTCGTTCAACAGAAACTTTAGAGCCAGAAACGACGGTAACAGAAACACTATGAACTTCTTGACCTCGCCAGATATCGTCACCGCCATGATCTACTCTGGTGACATGAACTATAACCCACTCACTGACTCCATCAAGACCGATGATGGTCAAGAATTCAAGTTTGAGCCTCCTCAGGGTGTTGAGTTGCCTGGTGACGGTTTCATCAAGGGCCGTGAGGAATTCTACCCTGACCCTGACCCACAGCCAAAGCCTGAGGTCGAGGTGAACGTCTCCCCTGACTCTGACAGACTTCAAATCTTGGAGCCATTCGAGCCTTGGTCTGGTGAAGAATTGTCCACTACTGTCTTGTTGAAGGTAGAAGGTAAGTGTACCACAGACCACATTTCTGCCGCTGGTTCATGGTTGAAGTACAAGGGCCATCTTGAAAACATTTCGTACAACACGTTGATCGGTGCTGTCAACAAGGAAACCGGAGAAGTCAACACCGCTTACGACCTCAATGGTGACTCCTACGGAATCCCAGAGTTGATGTTCAAGTGGAAGGAGGACAAGCGTCCTTGGATTGTTGTTGCTGAGCACAACTACGGTGAGGGTTCCGCCAGAGAGCATGCTGCTATGTCTCCTAGGTTTACTGGTGGTTCTATTATTTTGGTCAAGTCCTTTGCCAGAATTCACGAGACCAACTTGAAGAAGCAGGGTATGTTGCCATTGACTTTCGCTGATGAGGCTGACTACGACAAGATCGTTGCAGGTGACCAGCTCACAACTGTCGATTTGAGAGACATGGTTGCCAAGGACGGAAACAACGGTGGTACCTTGAGAGTTAAGGTCACCAAGAGAGATGGCTCTGGAGAGTTTGAGATTCTCTGTAAGCACACAATGTCCAAGGACCAGATCGATTTCTTCAAGGCTGGTTCCGCCATCAATCACATTGGTAATTTGAAGAAGCAACAAGAGGCCAACGCGGCCTAGACGTACACTCGTCACACATTCATTCTATAGCATCATAACAGTCTACTGTGAATATAAATCATTACGTGAATAGCTTTTGTTTTAAAAAGGTACGGAAAAATGAGAGCACTCTAAAGTAGTAAAGAGACAATATGCTATGAAATGAAGTCGGGAACAATTAGCGTTCGGATGCTTAGGCGTCGATCAAGTCGTGGGACTTGTCGGGGTTCTCTTCCTCATCGTCATCGTCCTGGTCTCTGGCTCTGTCGTAGAACTCGTTCAAGATCTTAGGACTGATTCTGTTCAACATCTCCTTAGGGTAGATTCTCAACAAGGACCAGGCGAGATCCAAGGAGTCAAACACAGATCTGTCTTCGTAGGCACCCTGGGCGATAAAGTTCTTCTCGAACTTCTCCAAGAATTCCAAGGACAACTTGTCCTCAGTGGACAAAGCTTCTTCACCAACGACGGACTTCATGGCAGCAGCATCCCTACCAATAGCGTACTTGGCGTACAACTGGTTAGAAACATCACCGTGGTCCTTTCTTGTCATACCCTCACCAATGGCAGACTTCATCAAACGAGACAAAGATGGCAAGACATTAATAGGTGGGTAGATACCTCTGTTGGACAATTGACGGTCGACGAAAATCTGACCCTCGGTAATGTAACCGGTCAAATCAGGAATAGGATGTGTGATATCATCGTTAGGCATGGTCAAAATTGGAATCTGAGTAATAGAACCATTTCTGCCCTCAACTCTACCAGCTCTCTCGTAGATGGTGGACAAATCTGTGTACATGTAACCTGGGTAACCTCTTCTACCAGGAACCTCCTCTCTGGCAGCAGACACCTCTCTCAAGGCGTCAGCGTAAGAGGACATATCAGTCAAGATTGTCAAAACGTGTCTCTCGGTTTGGTAAGCCAAGTACTCAGCAGTGGTCAAAGCTAATCTTGGAGTAATGATTCTCTCAATAGTAGGGTCGTTAGCCAAGTTCAAGAACAAGGAGGTTCTTTCCAAAGATCCATTCTCCTCAAAGTCCTGCTTGAAGAATCTGGAGGTTTCCAAGTTCACACCCATAGCAGCGAAAACAATGGAGAAATTCTCCTCATGACCATCGTGAACATCCTTGGTAGGTCTAACCAAACCAGCCTGTCTACAAATCTGAGCAGCAATTTCGTTATGTGGCAAACCAGAAGCAGAGAAAATAGGAATCTTCTGGCCTCTGGCAATCGAGTTCATGGTGTCGATAGCGGAGACACCGGTCGAGATCATCTCCTCAGGGTAGATACGAGCGTATGGGTTGATTGGAGAACCGTTGATGTCCAAGTAGTCCTCAGCAAAAATTCTGGGGCCCTTGTCAATTGGACGACCAGAACCGTCGAAAACACGTCCCAACATATCTTCAGAGACGGCAATCTTCAAGTTCTCACCAGTGAACTCAACCTTGGTCTTTTTGATATCAATACCAGATGTACCTTCGAACACCTGGACAATAGCTTTGGTGCCCCTAACTTCCAACACCTGGCCAGCTCTGACAGATCCATCAGGCAAAGTCAAGTTGACAATCTCATTAAAGGAAGGGAACTTGACATTGTCCAAAATGACCAAAGGACCATTGACACCACCGACGGTGTTGTAATTGATTCTTGGCTTGATCTTGAAGCCCTCAGTGACGGCCTTCTTGTTCAATTCGTACAATTCCTTGTCTGACAACATATTCGGTGAGTCTCCACAAAGATTGAGCTGTGAACGGAAATTCTAGGTTGGGGACGATGAACGTTCAATCTCACTAGGAATGAGGATAGGTTATCGCTTTTCGTCGATAATTAGACCAGCAATCATCATGCAGGCATTTACTGTGGCATGCTCACCGTTACGCACTACCTTGGCTGCAAAATGGCCTACAATTTCTGTTCAGTGCGAGCGATCCACGCTCTACTATAAATTAATAAAGACGACTCACCACATCCCAATCGGCAAGGTGTGACCTAGTGTTCTTCATCATGGTTTGAGTAGCAATTTTGACAGCCTCGTCATCGTCATCTCCGTTATCTCGGCCACTGCCTTTGCCATTCGCTACTAGCTTGTGCACGTTGTCCATCACCTCTTTGAGATCATAAAAGTCAATCTCTTGCTTTGAGGCCGAGTCCGGCTCGGTCGAGCGATCAACTTTGATAGAAGACTTGCTGGTGTCCTCGTCTGTATCCAGAAAGCCTTCGCTGACGGCACCATATATCTTCTGATCCGGATCGATACTAGGAGTCTGCTGAATTTTAGGTTGGGATGGTGCTCGAGATAAATAGTTACTGTAGAATTCTCTGAGCTTCGAGGAACTCTCGTGGGTATGAAGACTAGCATGAGCCGTGTTCGGATACGAATCCTCTGTTCCACCTGAAGAGGCAGTCGAAGGAAGTTGATTAATATCAATACCCACACCACTCAGCATTGAATAGCTCATTGCACCATGAGAGACCTGTGGCTTCAAGGAAACTGACTGTTCCTGAATTCTGTGTTTGAAGTATTGGTCCATCTCGGCAATGCTTTCCAAGGTTTTCCTGAAGTCGTACCTTCGACTATTTTCCTCAGACTTATTATCCGGCTCTCCTCTCAATTGACCATAGGTGCTGGAAAGCAAATCCCTCGTTGATTGCTTCTTGGTGGGTTGTGGAACTGTATCAATCGTTTGATGTATGAGGATTTCAAAGTTGACCAAAATCTTCACCACAACCAGAATGAACTTCAAATACTCTTTCAACGTGAGCTTTGTAAATGGCTTAGTTAGAATCTTATGGGGTACGATCACCATTCTTTTTCCTTGAAAAGTACTGGACTTTACCTTCTCGCTCAGAAGCTTCTTGTCTTCTATAAGGTTAGGTGGCTCTGGGGTTTCCAGAAATACCTCTGGGTGAAACAGCTCAGTCGGTGGCGATTCTGACAGCGCCAGCCGTACAGATGCTCTGCGTTGAAAGTTGGCTGTCTTGAACGACAAGGGCACTTGAATCACATTATCCTTTATGATTATCTTATCAAGGGATGGTCTAGGGCCAGGGAGTTTGTTAGCTTCCTCCTCCGATGGCTCTTTCTCGACCGAGTTTGCCTCACTCTCGTCGTGAACTAGAAAGTTGATCTTCTCTTGAACCTGATCAAAAAACTTGCCATCAGGGAGTTGACGGACAAGAAAATCTAGAAATGGAAGATGCACAGGGGTTCCGCCGTTGCTCAATAATTCCACCATGAGTACCTGGAGATGTATGAGGTTCTCCAAAAACATGTTGATAGCTATGAGTTTGTTGTTATGCAGTAGGAAAGACTCTAGCGAAAGTATGGGTTGCCCAAAAAAGTCCAATTTGAGGCTTCTACTTCTTGGGCCTGGCGGCTGGTTCTTCCACACTTCGTACTTCGGAAATACCACCTGACGTAGCACCTTATAGTGGTGATACTGAATGATAGCGGTCTGTCTTGCAGCCCGTGTAGAATCCACTTGCTGGGTCTTAAGAATCCTTTCATTGATGCTGTTGGAAAGTGTCTGGTGCTGGTTGATTATGCTCTCCCTCATTTTCTGTACCAGACTCTCCTTGTCTTTAATCTTCAACGACGTTTCGTCCACCTTTGCTTGTAGCGAAGCCACTCGCTTATTCAAAAGCTGTCGAGACCTCTCAATGTCATTTTGCTTGAGACGGGAGTTGAGAATGGCAAGCTTCTGAAGCTGTAACGCTAAGTCCTTGATTGTGTACAGCTTAGGCTTAGGAGCCTCTTCTTTCTCGATTGGCTTGGCGTGTGAGCCTCCGTGCTCTTTATGTGAATATCCTGGATGTCGGCTCTCTTGTATACTTCTGCATTTATCAAATATGTCGTCTATCTCAGCTCTCATTTGATCATTAAGCTTCTCGTTTGAAATCACGGAACTGCGTATCACTTCAATCTCCTGTTGGATACATGTTGCACAAAGCATATCCGGCGCTAGGACGTCATTGCCATTTGCAAGCTTTTTTTTGGGCTTTGACATGGCAATCGTCTACTCATGTGAAGGAAGGAGAAGATGTGGTAACTTGGATTGATAGTACTGTTATCGCGCATGAGACTACATAAGGTGCTGATGGCTGCAAACAGAGCGCTAATTTTTTTTAAAGTTCTTCCGAAGCTGGCGCCTTTCCACGAGCTCTCTTACCATAAGGGCAATGGCCTCTTCGACGTCGGATTCCACGTCAACGGCCAAAAAACCGCATCTCCATGTTTTGCTGAGCTGCCTTCCGTCTTCTATTAATTTGGGCGACGCAAGAGGCAGATCCGCGTGGGTACACACAAGCCAAATAGGGGGTGGACAAGACGGATCCGCCGGGTCAGAAGAGATATCTAGAAGTCTCGAGCCACCAGGGCTGCGAGATTGGGGTGTCGGTTTACGGACCTCATCCACAAGTAAGCCGCGAAGAGCCGTTTTGAAGGAGAATACATCTGACTCCTTACCACTCTCCCACGAAACCTTGTATGTGTAATATTCTTGCCATGCCTCGTCGAGCGTCTGCTTCATCACGGGAAGCAAGTCGAAGCCGTTTTCGTTGTTTGCCGCGGAGAAGCCCGAGGACTCGTCGTAGGAAGGTGGAAGACTGGATGGTACAGCACTGTAGACAAAGTAATAACCATCCACAGTGCCATTCAATTCGCTTGCCCCACTGGCGACAATGAGTGGGTTGGTGCTGACAGGCTGCCGTGGCTCGTTGGCAAGATTGTGCAAAATGTCCTTTTCTAATTTGATGTATAGCGATGCCTCTAGAAACGGCACGACTTGTTTGGGATTGAAAGCGGGTGTATCTATGAGCTCCATTAGTATTGGAGTGGACTGAATTGAGTTTCCACGAGTGTAAATGGAGTAGATGTGGTTGCTGCTTTGGATAGCCACCCCATTGCTTTGAGTAACTGGCATCGTGGGCCTTTTCGTCGTGTTACTCACCAAACTGTTGTAAACAACAGGACTTAGCACGACTCTATCGCTAGTCAAGGCCAGGTTGAGCGTGTCTCTTGGTGAATAAGTATCGAGAACTTGTCTGGATAGTATGGACTCGGGGAAATACGTGAAAAGTATTGGTTGTGTTTGTTGCAGAGGGTAGTATGTCTCTCGAAAACTCCCCATGGTGACTTTTGATATTAGAGAAGTCTTCCCGCTCTTGGCGCCACCAAGAAAGGCGAGACGAACTGGATCTTTATCATTGGTTGGTTTGTCAACATCAAGGGCCAGCCTTTTAAGAAGTGACTTCATAGGCAGGGCATCGGTTGGTTAGCTGGATAAAGAGGGAAATATTCTAGATATGGTGCACGGGTGTATTGGCTGCGAAATCTACAGGGTAGGGAAAAGTCCGTGATTTTGACATACACGTAAAGAACTAAAAAAGGAGGTTTGGTTGCTAGTACGCAGGGCAAGTGGCTACGCCAAGCTTAGAGTCACCTTGGCCGTAGTACAAAAACCACTTGCCTTTAAACTGAACGATTCCCTCAGTGAAGACAACCTTATCGACTTGGCCGTCAATCTCACCAGCATCCTCAGGCACCAAAATCGGCTTCTCCAAGCGTGCCAATGGTCCATCTTGCAAATTGTCATAATCAATAAGCATTTGCGAAATGGTGTACGTTGCCTGTGGGTACGGTCCAGCACCTGTGGTGGACGAATTGTAGAACAAGACGTAGTAGTTCTGGTGTGGGTTTCCCGTATCAAGCTTGATTGGTGCCGGTCCAGGCTCAATTAACCGGTCCTGCCAGTCAAATTTGCCTGTGGCGTACACAGCACTCAGAAAGTCGTGGCTTGTGATTTTCCAATGTGTCAAATCAGAGCTCGTAGCAAGGTAGAATCCGGACTCGCCCCAGATCATGTAATACTGGCCGTCCTTGTGTTTCTCTACGAACACGGCACCACTCTTCAGCCATGCCCGACGGATAAACTGTGTTCCGTCGAGCGCATTGCTGATTTCTGCCCAATCGTCGTTTTTGATAATAGGTGGGTGCTTCTTCCACTCAAATAAGTCCCACAGCTCGGCCACACACAATCGTGCGTAGGATCCATCGTAAGCAGTGTAGGTCATGATGAACTTCTTAGTTTCGGGATCACGGACAATTCGGGGATCTTCACAACCACCTTTTTGCTCCCATTCCTCGGTGGGATACAAGACCGGCTTGTTGTGCCTTTTAAAGTTGTAGCCATCACTCAGCCACGCAATACCCACGTACAGCGTTTTCTTGCTGTCTTGAGCCCTATAGAGCAAATAAACTCGACCATCCACGACAATTGCCGTAGCATTGTAAACATACGCCTCCTCCCAGGTATTCTCTGGGTTTGGAGTCAAGATCGGGTTGTGCTCGTACCTGGAGAAGTGTGGTCCGATAGGGAAGGTTCTGGGCGCCTTGTAATGGCCATCTCCCGAGGGAGTATCGGGGCCTATTTTAGGAAGAGAATTCATTAACCCCTTCAAAATATTCTGAAAGACCATTGCTTTTTATAGTTGGTTTCATGGAACTGAGCCATATCTCCACTGCAGGACTAGCTTTGAGGCAGTGGGGATCAGCACCCCAAAAAGTGAGAGGAAAAAAGAGAGCGACTAGTGAGGCGAATCCAAAAAAGTGGCTTTCACCTTTTTACAATTCACCCCTTTTGTGACCAAAACTCGACTGATTGTGCCAGCTACTCCGGGCTCTCCTCCAATTACATTTGAAGCTTGCCAGTCTGTCCTGACCAGAGTTACAACTCGTCTTGTTCCGCTTTTACCCTACCAGTCAAGTACATTCCGAGAAGCTCACCCGCCGAAAGCTAAATTTATCCCCCCTGCTCAATAGCATATTTTCTCCATGGGTCAACTCTTGTCACATCCGGTAGAGGAGAAGTCCATAGATTTCCGGGAGCATTCGACCATTTCCTATGCCATAGGCTCGATGCAAGGCTATAGAATGACCATGGAAGATGCCCATGACGTCAGGGTTTCCGATGATGAAAACCTTGCCGTGTTTGGCGTGTTCGATGGTCACGGTGGTAAGGAGATCGCCGAGATCTTGAAGGGGAAATTAGTGGCAACTATCTTCCGAAGGCTCTCTGCAACAATCAAGAAAAACAAAGACACAGAGTTGCTGACATACATCCGTCTCATCAAGGATTGCTTCTTCCAAGTTGATGCCGAACTTCCGGAGTCAGATGCCGCTAATTGTGGCAGCACTGCTATTATCACTACTATTATCGCCAAAAAGTATGTCATTGTGGCCAATACGGGTGACTCCAGATCCATTCTTTCGCTTAAAGGTGGCTTCCTGAAGAATCTCTCGTTTGACCACAAACCTTCTACGATGGGCGAACGTGTTCGTATCGAAAATAGCGGCGGGTATGTCATCAATGGAAGAGTGAACGAGGTTTTGGCCTTGTCCCGTGCTTTCGGAGACTTCAACTTCAAGTTGCCTTTGCTCTCGCTTAACCCATCGGAACGTCACAATGCATACCTAGAACAAAATCGGAAGCTTATCAAGGACAATTTGGTTGCTCTCCCACCTGAGCTCTATCAAGTCAGTGTTGAACCCGATGTTCTTGTTTACGATCTAAAGTTCTTGAGTGAGCCTGAGTTCATTGTATTGGCATGCGACGGTATCTGGGATTGCTACACAAATGACCAATTGATACGTCTTATTCGCAAACGATTACGGGACGGTTGGAATTTGCAACATATCAGTGAGTACGTGCTCAATGACTGTATCAGCATGGCAAACAATATCACAGGAATTGGCTTTGACAACATGACTTTGATGATTGTTGCCCTACATACCAATGGCTCGCTTGAACAGTGGGGACAACAATTCAAGAAGTGATGATTTACGACGACGATTATAGGCATTGACAACCCCGCAGCCCATCCGGGTTGAGGCGGTTATAGAACAGGGTCGCTGTCACGAGATTAATGCTACGAGCGCTGGTTGCGAAAAAGATCAGGCCAGGATTGCACACCAGTGTTTACACATTTAATGTTCACAAACACCCAATTAATCTTTTGAGCCACGACGCTGTCTCTGCGAGTATTTAGAACGAATTGAAAGTATTCTGGCAAAGAAATAAAATTGTGCTAGCCGTAAGCCAAAACATACACGAGCAAGCCAAGGCCGCCTGCAGAAGAGCCTGTTCTACCCACTGGAGCCGCGCTATCTACAGTAGACCAATGTCCTTGTACTTTTACTTCCTCCTCTGCAGCATCAGCATCATCCGTTCTATTCATTAAACCATTAGCATAGCATTAAGAGTGTTGTGACTCATTGTCATAATAAACCATTTCCCCTTACCTATTTGCATCACCGCCATAGCATTTTCAGCATACACAGCATCCGAAGACAATGTCATACACCATAGACAGTTACAACACATATGAAGATCCGATCCTTGCACTTGCCAGAGACCCAGATCTTCTAAAAGAAAAAGCAAAGAACTCTCAGATTAATCAGATCATCCATGGGTTCGCAATCACGGAACGAAAAGTTTCCAGACTCTGCCAGTTGAGTCTTAGCATTCTACAGACATTAGAAAAGATAGACCTAAATCTTAAAAACTGGACATTCTTTTCGCTTGACGCAAGCTCAACAGACCATTTTGACGAATCCAATACAGAGGAGAACAAACTGTTCAATAACAAGGTTTCTCTTCAAGTCATCAATTCATGTCAGGAGCTTACCAAGAAACTCAATAAGATATCTGCCGATGTCGACTTCATCACCAATGCACTGAAATCGCTATCACCACTAGAATTCATAAGTGATAGCGGCACATTGCTCACGTCATTAACGCTACGAAATATCAAACTAAAGGATGAACTCAGGGATAGAGTCACCGTTGCATATCTGAAAGCTAAGCTCATTACAATCGGAACAGACTTGGAAGTGATGTTGGGCGATGGTAACTCCGAGCAGCAGCAAACAGTTCAATCATATAAGCAGTTTGTTGTTAGTCTATTGAAACAGTTGAACGACGCAGTTGACGGAGACGATATCGAAGAGAGGAATGAGTGTCTTGCAGTCATCAGTGATATGGAGCAGATGTTCGAAGTTTTTAAACTTGAGAAAGTTCAGCAAGCGAAGGAGGAATTGGCTAAAAGAGCCGAACAGGCCGAGGATTCAGACGACACACTTCATACTCATAAATCTGATCAACATCATTCGGAATACAAATCTCAAAGGAGGGACTCGCTCTCATCGCTGTCAACAGCGATGGTACAACAATCACTTCTAAGCGAAGAGCTTCCATATCTTATGTCTGCTTTCCATCAGGATGAAAAGCGTGAGGGACAGTCTGACTACGCTCTTGAGCGCCTGGAGGTTGTTCATGAAAAAGCCAAAAAGCATCAGGAAACAGACGACAATTCAGCATCTATTTTACACTTCCCACGCCAGAAAACTCAATTGCCTGAGACTTCATTATACTCGGGTAGTGAGATCGTCAATAAGCCACCCGCACCCTCTCCGTATTCTTACATTGAAACTGGGAGCTCGTGGTTGTCGAAGTTGGGTATTCGGCCCCAAATCATAACAGCTGATAAGCATCTCGTCAACAGCACATCGTTTAACCGCGGCTTTGCCGAGAAGCAGCAGCTTACGCCAGCTTCCTCGCCAACCTCAATCAAGGACAAGGCTGAGGATGATAAGGAGAATGTAAGGCATCCACCGCTTCTGATAGAGAATTTGGAAGCTCACACGCTTTCGCTGTTGCAAAGTGATGACGACCACTTACTTGACTACGTGGAATAGAGACACTACAGAAGATATAGGCATGACAATAAAACGTTCGGCTAATGTACCTAGAGATTAACTCCATTGACTTGGTTTTTTTTCGGCGTTGCATTTCGACAATTGTTTCACGAAACTTTCACCCCAGTAGCCCGAGGTATATTTCGAGATGTAGTTGAAAACCTTATTGAAGTTAATGGCTTTCTTTTCCTCGGGGAGTGTCAAACTCTCCTTGATCGCCTCGCACATATCTTCAGAGCTCCATGGATTGACAATAAGGGCACCATTGAGCGATTGAGCAGCACCTGCAAACTCGGATAAGATAAGAACACCATTGTTTTCCTGTTGACATGCAATGTACTCATAGCTGACCAAATTCATGCCATCTCTGGTTGAACTGACCAAGCAAACGTCCGAAACTCTGTAAAGACTTATGAGCTCCTCGAATGGGACAGACTTGTGCAAGTAATGAATAGGGACAAACTCCACGGTACCAAAACGACCATTGATTCTGCCCACAAGCTCATTGACGTTGGCCCTCAAGCTCTGATATTCTTCAACGTCGCCTCTTGATGGAACGGCAACCTGTACCAAAACCACCTTGCCGACCCACTCTGGGTTTTCTGTGAGGAACACCTCAAACGCATGTAACTTCTGTGGAACACCCTTGATATAGTCAAGCCTGTCAACACCTACGATGACCTTGACATCGTCAAATTTCAGCTTCAATTGTTCGATCCTCTTTACGACTTCGGGTTTCTTCACACCTTCCGTGAACTTCTCAACATCAATGCCGATGGGGAATGCCCCAATTTGAATAGACCGGCCTTCGAATTCCACGCCGTTTGGGAGAGTATTCACATTAGGAACAATCCTCGACACAGAGGACAAGAAATGACGAGCATAGTCGTAGGTGTGGAAGCCGATCAAATCGCAACTCAAGACACCAGTGACAATCTCTCTTCTCACAGGGAGAATTCGATAAATTTCGGACGATGGGAATGGTGTGTGAAGAAAGAAGCCGATTCGAACGTTCTTGGGTGTCTTTTCACAATTCTCCAATTCCTCCCGCAACATCTGAGGCAATAACATCAAGTGGTAGTCATGGACCCAGATCATATCGTTATCGTCAACCTGCTGCACAATCTTTCGGGCAAACTGGCGATTGGCCTCAATATAAGCAGCCCATGCTGTCTCGTCGAAGTTCATTTCGCCAGGATGGTAATGGAAAAGGGGCCACAATATGCTGTTAGAGAAGCCATTGTAATGCAAATCGGCAATGGAATCACTCAAGAAAATGGCACAGCATTTGAACTGCTCCATAAGATCCTCATTGACTCGATCCTGTTCGTTCTCTGGCAACTCCAAACCAGGCCAGCCGTACCATTGGAACTCCGTAGACTTCTTCAATCCTTGAAGAGCGGTCACCAATCCTCCGGAGGACATGGAGTATTCATAGCTGCCATCGTCTTTGCGCTTAATGGTCACTGGAAGACGGTTGGACACAACTAGCACTTTTCCCTTGTTCATTTCTGCTAATTGGAGCGCAATTGAGTAGGTTCTGGAAGATCAGGCAAGAAGAATTACTTATCAGTAGGAACTCCGCGAACTTCAGGTGATGCGAAGTGGCCCTATAAATGTACGATAGCAAGGATAAGCTTTTTTGGTCCTTCGATTTTTCAAAAGAAAGGGTCAGGAGTGGTTTATGAAGGTGGCTGTGAAGAAGTGGTCCAGGCACAGCAAGGGCGGCTTCGGACTTTTCTAGAAGTTGCGCAAGTGCGCCTTGCCGACTTTATGACACTTTAAGGCACCCGCGTACAAATCAGGAAAGAAATTCGATTAGGCCGAATTTTGATTTTCAAAAAATTATACGTTTGTTCCTGGGTCTGATTAGGAAAGAATAAGGTCGATGCTTCGTTGGCCTTTTAAAGGGTGTGCATTTTTGTTATAATCTTGCCAAACTGTGCACGGTTCACGAAGCACACCAATTGTAGGCATCTGGAGCCATTGTGGTTTGATTTAAAATGAAACGATTCGATTTGGGTGAAGAATTAAGCGACAAAAAAAAAGAAAAAAAAAAAAAAAATCTCTCAAAGATCCATGATTCTTGCCTCATTATAAGTGAGTGGGCATGCAAGATTCCACATTAACTACTCGCTCAGATCTTCCCACCATTGGCATGCATCCCAGACACAAAGTGAGAAAGGCTATTTGCAAGCGAGTTACAAGATTTCAATGGCAGAATGCTCTTGGCACAATTCAACAACCCCTGCATCTATTTACCGCAAAATTCGTGGAAAAAAGCTAAAGCTCGCTTCACTTTTTCCTATCTCCGACTTTTCAAAGGTGGGGTGCGCTCCAATGATAACATTCAACGTGCTAAGTCCCACCGTTTACTGCGGCTCAGTGGAGGATGACAAACGTTACTGCGGATAACCCAACGTCATAATACCGCTTTGCACATAGAATCCACAGCTGGGGTACATAAGCGTTCCGGTTGCCGAGACTTGAAAATTTCCACCACATTTTGCAATGCCATCTCCAGTAGTCGCCAGACCATTAGACGACACCGTTATTTTCAAACCTTTGAAGGTTGGCAACAACGAGCTCTCCAACCGAATTGTTTTCGCTCCATCCACAAGATTCAGAGCTTTGCCAGATCATTCTCCTTCTGATCTTCAGCTTCAATATTACGACGAACGTTCGAAGTATCCTGGCACCTTGGTCACGGTCGAGGGAACGTTGCCAACCAAGAAGACCGGATCTTATGCGTTCGTCCCAGGTATCTACACCGAGAAACATGCTAGAGAATGGAAGAAAGTCACCGACAAGATCCACGAGAATAAGTCCTTTGTGACGGTTCAACTTTGGGGATTGGGCCGTGTGGCAGACCCATTTCAAAACAAGAGGGAAGGCGAAAAGCTCAAGGGCCCCTCTGCTTTGTACGATCATGAGAGACTGGAGAAGGTTGCCAAGAAGGCCGGCAACGAGATCGAGGCTTACACCACAGAGGAAGTCGATGATCTAATTGAGGAATACCTGAAGGCAGGCCGTTTGGCGGTGGAAGCTGGCTTCGACTATGTGGAGTTTCACTGTGCCCATGGCTATCTTTTCAACCAATTCTTCGCTCCTTCTGCCAACCAGAGAACTGACAAATACGGCGGTTCAATTGAGAACAGAGCGCGTTTCATCTTGAGTGTTATCGATAGATTGTCGAACGAGATTGGCTCTCATAGACTTGCAGTCAGGATCTCGCCTTGGGCCACCGTATATGGTATCAAGGCGCAGAAGGATGAAGACCATCCAATCACTATTTATTCTCACTTTTTGCATGAGTTACAAAAGAGAGCAGATGCTGGCAAACCGCTCGCTTACGTCTCAATCGTGGAGCCCAGAGTTTCGGGTATCTTCGACGTGGATGAGAAGGATATCGCTGGTAACAACGATTTCGTGAAGAATGTGTGGAAGGGTGTCGTTATGAAAGCAGGTAACTACACGTATGACGCCCCCAAGTTTAAGCAGCTTTTGGATGATACTGAGGACGGCAGAACTATGGTCGGTTTCTCCAGGTACTTCATTTCTAATCCGGATCTTGTCACTAGACTCAGAGACGGCAAGGAACTCAATGCTTACGACAGGAAGACTTTTTACAAGACCACCAATTGGGGCTACAACACCTACGATCGTTTTGGCGAAGCGACTAAATATGACGAGGATGCCGAGAAATCTCGTAAAGCTGCACCCATCGATGTCAGTGCCAGATTGTAATAGACTATGTCAACTCATGGTTGCGAAATAAACGGGAATGTAGCGAGAGTGCCTTGGCACACTGCTCCGCCAAATGGAAAGTTGAACCTCATGTTTACCACGGTCCGAAAGGGACAGAGGTTCTTCGAAGCAAAGTTTTTTAGAATGGTAAATCACTAAACTTTCATAGCACTCAGTGTAGTCCCAAAAGCAGGTACAGCCACTGAGGGCGTTATGTACCAGACACGACTCGCAAACCTCACTGTTTAGATCTGTCAAGTATTCATACAAGTTCACTGCTACCCATGTCAAACCCCTACGCCTATGTTGACGATGTCATTCCTCAACAGCAGACTTTGCGTCATCCCCAACCCCAACATGTAGGCTATTCGCCTCAGCAACAACATCAACAGCCACAACAACAGCAATTCCAGCAATTCTCAGGCCAGCAGTTTGGCGGTCAGCAGCAATTCGCTGGTCAACAACAATTTACCAATCAGCAGTTTGGCCAACAACATGCTGGTGCTCAGTTTGCTGGTCAAGGTGGTCAATTCCAGCAAAATCAAGCAAACTCAGGCCCCTACGCGAGCTTCTTCTCCGATCCAACCGCCTCCATGGCTGCCCAGTTTGCCAAAAGCAGCTTGGGCCAGTCAAATGATTACATCCAGCAGAACTTCGGAAGCTACATTCCTGTGGCTGGTGAGTTGAAGTTTTACTTCAATGTGAGTAACTCATACGTGCTCAACAAGATAATCCTAATACTCTTCCCTTACCGCCAAAAGAATTGGGCCCGTATCACCCAGACGGATCCTACTCCAAACGCTAGCGCCGGATCAACCTATGCGCCACCATCGGAAGATGTCAACGCTCCAGACTTGTACATCCCTTTGATGTCCTTCATCACATACATTCTTCTTTGGTCCTCGATTTCGGGATTGAAGGGCGAGTTCCATCCTGAGCTTTTTGGATATCTCGCATCCCAAACGCTTGCCTGCTCATTTCTCGACATCTTGATTTTCAAAGTCGGACTCTATCTTTTGAATTGCTCGACCCAAAGCTCTTTGTGGGATCTCGTCAGTTTCAGTGGCTATAAATACGTCGCTATCACCCTTTTGTTGTGCTGGAAGAACCTCGTGGGTAATTCGTGGTTGCTTTACTACTCGGTATTAGCATACGTTGTTGGAAGCTTGTCCTTGTTTTTAATGAGGTCCTTGAAGTTTTTGGTGTTGCCGCTTGGCGTTGCTGAGACCGCTACACAGACCATCACAAACAGCCAAAGAAGACTTAGAGTTCAATTTCTTTTCCTTTACGCTGTGGTGATCCAATTCTTGATTATTTTATTCATGTCTCGTTAACTCCACAACGGTCACCTGACTGAGGTTTGAGTGAGGGAGCGTCGTCTGGTTGTTGTACCTGTACGCTTTCGTTCGCGTCTCACAACGCGTGTATAGATGTGCCATCGCAATGCATACCACCCTGTATCAAGTTTACTTTTGATTCTCTGACCCACACATACTCTGCCAGTCTTCACAATGTCCAGACCCTCTCAATTCAAGGGGTCAACCTCTGCGAGGTTTGTGAAGAACTCTCAACTGACAAAAAGCGTTGTCACAGAGTACAAGGTATCCAAAGATCAGTCGGAACCACAGAAACCCAATCCCTTATTGACTGATGCCATATCAAAGAGAGAGCTCGTCGAAAAGATTGACGACATGGATGCCCTTATGGGGTTTGAGAGATTTGACCATGGAGAACAGGACGGCAACAAACCCAGAAAGGGCTGGCTCATAAACATGCATTCAACCACCGTGCCCACTGAAGACTACGCTCCGGGCTATTCAGGTGTTGACTACTATTTCTTGGACGCTGAAGGTGGCTCATTCAAAGCGACAATCCAATATGATCCCTACTTTTTTCTTTTAGTCTCGCCTGGCAAAGAGGCGGAAGTGGAAGAGTCATTGAAGAGATTCTTGGAACAATTCAATGTCAAGTCTGTCTCCAGAGAAGTCAAGGATGATCTCAACTTACCCAATCATCTTGTTGGCTTGCAACGAACTGTTATCAGACTTACTTTCCACAACGTCACAGACCTTCTAGGCGCCAGACGTCTCCTCGGTCCAGTCATCAAAGAGAACCAGAAAAACAGCGACCGGAGAGACGTGTTTCAGATCCTCAACTTCAACAACTCCAACAATATTGATGGAGGTCAAACAGGTTATCAAACAAACAAAGAGTTCAATAAGAGTGAAGGATCCGCTGCTGACCCTTTGACGTACATCGACGACATTCGAGAGTATGATGTGCCTTATCATGTCAGAGTCTCAATCGACAAGGCGACTCGTGTTGGTAAATGGTACAATGTCTTCGCCAAGCACGGTGTTGTCACACTCGAGGAGGACACCGATTTAATTGCATTCGCCGATCCTGTGGTCATGGCATTCGATATTGAGACCACAAAGGCTCCCCTTAAATTTCCAGATTCGAGAACAGATCAGATTATGATGATTTCTTATATGATTGATGGGGAGGGTTTTCTTATAACCAACCGTGAAATCATCTCTGAGGATATCGAGGACTTCGAATACACTCCGAAGCCTGAATACCCTGGTGAATTTACCATCTTTAACGAGCCAGACGAGAAACATGTTCTTCTACGCTTTTACGAGCATATCAGAGATGTTCGTCCTACCGTCATTGCAACGTTTAACGGTGATTTCTTCGATTGGCCTTTTGTCGAGAATAGATCCAACTTTCACGGGCTTGACATGTTTGAGGAAATCGGATTTGCAAAAGACAATGACGACGAGTACAAGTCAAAGTACTGTGTCCATATGGATTGTTTTCGCTGGGTCAAGCGTGACTCCTACTTGCCTCAAGGGTCTCAAGGTTTGAAAGCTGTCACCACAGCTAAGTTGGGTTACAACCCTACTGAGTTGGATCCTGAATTGATGTACCCATATGCCATTGAGAAGCCTCAATTGCTATCTGAATATTCCGTCTCCGATGCCGTGGCAACATATTATCTTTATTTCAAGTATGTGCATCCGTTTATCTTCTCCTTGTGCACCATTATTCCACTCAATCCTGACGAGGTCTTAAGAAAGGGTACTGGTACTCTTTGTGAAATGTTGTTGATGGTTCAGGCATACGAGAAAGACATCCTTCTACCCAACAAGTACACCGATCCTATTGAGCGTTTCTACGAAGGTCACCTTCTCGAATCAGAAACCTACGTCGGAGGTCATGTGGAGTCTCTTGAAGCTGGTGTCTTCAGAAGTGACATTGCCACTGACTTCAATGTGAAGCCCGATGCAATCGACGAACTACTTCACGACCTCAGGAATTCCATTAAATTTTGTGTTGAAGTCGAGAATGGTAAATCTCTCGATGATGTCGAGAACTTCGAGGAAATCTATGATCAGATAAAAAGCCAACTTGAGGAGCTCAAGAATAATCCAAAACGAACCGAAAATCCATTGATCTATCACGTTGACGTTGCCTCAATGTACCCAAATATCATGACCTCCAACAGATTGCAGCCGGACTCCATCAAGACAGAGGAAGATTGTGCCGCATGTGACTTCAATAGACCAGGCAAAACATGTGATAGAAGACTTCCTTGGGCATGGCGTGGTGAGTTTTTCCCTGCTGAAATGAATGAATATGGAATGATGAAGCGAGGCCTACAAAACGAATCATTTCCTGGTGCTAGACCATGGCTTCCTGAGCGTACCTTTGATGAACTTCCATACGCGGAGCAAGCTCTGTTAATCAAGAAAAGAGTGTCCGACTACTCGAGAAAGGTGTACAACAGAATCAAGCAGACCAAAACCATCACGAGAGAGGCCATTGTTTGTCAACGTGAGAACCCCTTCTATGTTAACACGGTTCGAAACTTCAGAGATCGTCGTTACGAATTTAAAACATTGGCTAAGGTCTGGAAGGGAAAGACTGGAAAGTGCAAAGATGCAATTTCCAAAGATGAGGCAAAGAAAATGGTGGTTTTGTATGATTCTCTTCAGCTTGCTCACAAAGTTATTCTTAATTCGTTCTATGGTTACGTCATGAGAAAGGGTTCAAGATGGTATTCCATGGAGATGGCGGGTATCACTTGTCTCACCGGTGCAACCATTATTCAGATGGCTCGTTCCTTGGTTGAGCGAATCGGAAGACCGCTTGAATTGGACACTGACGGTATTTGGTGTATCTTGCCAAAATCATTCCCCGAGAACTTCAGTTTGAAATGCAAGGACGGGAAACTGATTTTCCTTGAATATCCCTGTTCGATGTTGAATTATTTGGTTCATCAGCGCTTCACGAACCATCAGTATCAAGAGTTAGTTGACAAAGACACATTCAAGTATGAGACCAAATCGGAGAACTCCATCTTTTTTGAGGTCGATGGTCCATATAAGGCTATGGTATTGCCAACATCGAAAGAAGAAGGCAAAGGCTTGAAGAAAAGGTATGCTGTTTTCAACCATGATGGCTCGCTTGCTGAATTGAAAGGGTTCGAGCTCAAAAGAAGAGGTGAACTTCAGCTCATTAAAAACTTCCAGTCAGACATTTTCAAGCTTTTCTTGGAAGGTGATACCTTAGATAACTGCTACAAAGCCGTGGCAACGGTGGCAAATAATTGGTTGGATGTTCTTGATACAAAAGGAGGAATGCTCGAGGACGAAGATTTGATTGAGCTCATTTGCGAAAACAGAAGTATGAGTAAACCTTTGTCGGCTTATAGTGGCCAAAAGTCTACTTCAATTACAACTGCAATAAGGTTGGGTGAGTTTTTGGGTGAAGAAATGGTGAAGGATGCTGGTCTCGCCTGTAAATACATTATCAGCGCCAAGCCCTTTGGAAGTCCCGTCACCGATAGAGCAATTCCCGTTTCTATCTTCTCATCTGAAAAGAAGGAGCATTATCTCAAGAAGTGGCTAAAAGACCAAAACCTTAAGGAGTTCAGTCCACGTTCCGTCATTGACTGGGAGTATTACAAAGAGAGACTTGCCTCGGTGGTGCAGAAGATTATTACTATTCCGGCAGCTTTGCAAGATGTGGTTAACCCTGTTCCAAGAGTTGCCCACCCAGATTGGTTACAAAAGCGAATCAGAATCATGGCTGACAAGAAAAAGCAATCTTCACTTGGAACTTTCTTTCAGACCACTACTCCGAATGATTTGAAAACGAAGGCAATCAAGGACATGGAAGATTTTGGTGAGCTTGACGAAGGCAACCCTCGATCGAAGATTGGCAAGGTAACTGTTCGAAAGAGACGGCATGCTCAAGCTTTGCAAGCTCAACAAATTGAAGAGGAGGAAAGAAACAATGCCATATTAAATGCTCCTTGTCCTTCAATGACAGAAGACTACGCTGGCTTTTTGAGTTACCAGAAAGCGAAATGGCTGATGCAAGCTAAAAACAGAGAGCGCAGGAGAAAGCTATTTGGTGATAATTCCGAATCGTCACATCGTTCATCTGTTGGTAACATGTTTCGGAAACAGGCTGCGTCTGTGGCTGGCACAGACTGGGAAATTCTTGAGTATAAGCCAGATGCTCTGAACCCCGGAGCTATTAGAGCTTTTGTCATTTCCAGTGGCAAGGTACACTCATTCCTTTTCCACATTCCAAAGAAAGTATACGTTTCTTTCAAAACGAAGCTTCCGGAGCATTTCATCATTCCTCATGTGAGCATCGAGAAGTCAAATGCTATTTTACCAAATGGTCATGATAGCAAATATCTTTACAAGCTCACGATGTCTGAGAAGACATACAATGACGAAATGAGCAATGTCGATAGTATACTTCACGACTCCAGGGTTTTGGGAATTTATGAATCTGAAGTTGACACAATCGATCGGGCAATCATAGATTTGGGCCATTCCGTTCGTTTCGATGATACCAAAGTGGGCGCTCTTGGTAAGTGCTTGAAGAATGGATTCGGTATGAAGGATTTGATAAAGGTTGAACAGGAAGCGTACTTGAAGAGGTTCAATATGGAAATCATTTATGTTTTACATATTATGACAAACAGCTATGAGTTCTTCGCTTTATTCAATTCTTGGGATGACAATGCATCGATCATGATTCTCAAACCATCAAGTGGAGCCCAAGAGTTGCCAGTAAACCTTGAAAAGGTATACAAAGAGGTCTACCAGGCAAAGAAGGATAAGGTTGCCAAACTCTACAATATCATCGATTACAAACCCGAAATGAAGTTTGAGACGACATACTATCATACGCCTGCCGCTGTTTACAAGAAGCTTAACAAGTCATTAAGAGGTTTCCAAGAAAGCAGAAGCAATAAAGCCTTGCTTACAATTCAATCTCCTTATTGTGATAAGGTATTGGGACTACTTGATCCAAGCATTAATTTCCCCACCATCAGAATGCAAGTGAGCGAGGTGTCTTTGCCAGCACTCAGTTGGCAATTTCTCATTACGAAGAGGATTATGAATCACTTCTTCTTGGTTGCGTCATGGCTCAAGAACATGATCTCGTTATCTAACTACGGCATGGTACCACTCTGTAACTTGCAAGTCGAGAAGATGGGATATCTTATCGATATCGAGTTTGCAAGACGCTTGACTGAAAACAACGTTGTGCTTTGGTGGTCCAAAAATCCTTATCCTGATCAGGGTGGATTTGAGAACGACAGAGTTGGAAATGTTAGCAACCATGAGTTTGCGCCCATCAACAATCCTGAAATTTACGAAACTGCCTCCTTGGAAATTGAAGTCGGCACTTTGACAATTAATTCCATCCTCACGAGTTCCTTGATTAACGAAGCAGAAGGGACTGACCTTTCCGACACCTCGCTTGTGGGAGGTGATCACAACGGCTCCACGATGGCACAGGACGCGTTCTCCCCAGCTGCTTTGACAATTCTTAAAACAATGGTGAAAAATTGGTGGGACGACGCAGTGAGGAACAACGCAAATGCTGATGCAATGATGAATACATTAATCTCATGGGTGCATCTGTCCAATTCAAAGCTCTATGATTTCACTTTGCATAATCATATCCACAATCTCACATCGAAAGCTTTGTTGCAACTTGTCGGAGAGTTCAAGAGAATGAACGTCAATATTGTCTTTGCTTCCCGATACAAGATCATCATTCAGACAACGAAGATTTCCGTCGAAAATTCCTACGCATTTGGCCAGTATTTGGTAAATGCAACCAGATCCAAACCATTGTTCAACTTCCTTGATTTGAGAATCGTTCGTTACTGGGACGTCTTAGTCTGGTTAGATGAGTACAATTACGCTGGACGTTGTTGTACCACAATCACTAATGATGACGTTCAAACGTTAACTCCGAGAAGCAGATGGCATATCAAGAAGTTTTTGCCGGTCATATTCCAGAACGATTTTGATGATTGGCTATTCATCTTTTTGGATGCTCTTGTGAAGCATAAGAGTGAGACGCTTCTTGGAGGTACTCAGAAGGGAACTCAACGAATCACACAATTAGCTCACGTCCTCAAAGGTCAACATAAGCAGGATACAGCTGCCGAGGAGGAAGAAGAGGACTCAGAAAACTTTCAGACCAGTGAAATTATTGAGGTCTTCAGAAAGCCCTTGTTACGGAGAATCGAGAAACTTTACCGCCGTCAGAATGAGTCTATCTTGAACCCTGAAATGAAGCATGAATACGAGTTCCCTAACCATCCTGGTTCCTACCTCGAGTTGAAGAACCCTATTCTTGAGTTGGTAAAATTCCTCTGTGCAATCATTGGATTATCGTCGAAGAGGAATACCGAGGTAAGAATGTTGAGACGCGACCTTCTTGCAGCTATTGATGTCAGAGAATTCAGCCCAGAAAGTTTATTTGTGAACCCTAGTGCGTCGATGAAAGTGTCCACTATCATTTGCGATTACTGTAACTTTTTGAGCGACATTGACTTCTGCAGAGATGATGAGAAAGAGATCTGGTCATGTCCAAACTGTCGGAAGCTGTACAACAAGATATTCTTGGAAGAGGAATTGATTCGCCAGCTCAACATGATCGTCGCCAAGTACTTGACCCAGGACTACCAGTGTGACAAGTGCCACAAGATAAAGGGCGAGAACATGAGTGAGTACTGCAAGTGTTCAGGCAAGTGGATCGAGACAGTCGAGTTTGGGCAACTTGAAAAGCGACTCAAAACTTTTGAGAACGTGTCCACCCATTACGGTTTCAAAATGCTCAGAGATTTCGTGGAAGAGCTTATTTAATATCTTTTCATATAGAACAATTCGCATAGCATATTTATCAACACTACTCAGTAGATTCGCACCCATCTTCATACCACCGCGTTTAGCTGCATCGTACTCTATTGATGCCCATCTCAAATATCACCGTTCAAGGCCGAGATGACGAATTGCTGCTACTAAGAGCATTTGTCACCGGTGATGTCCAAACATCGTCCTCAAATCTAATTGTTTCTGGCTATAAAGCTTCTGGCAAGACACACACTGTCCTCAAACACCTAGATCAGCTACGAGTCAATAAGACGGTGATTGATTGTGACAGGTGTCTCACCCACAAAATCTTACTTCAAAAATGCTTGATGGGAATCAAAAATGATAGTGGCGTGGATCTTAATGAATACAAACAGAAGTATATGTACAAAGGCCTTGAGGCTGCAAGACCATCGGTGCTCTGTGAAAACTTTGCCTATTTCCTCATGTTGTTGGAGCAATTCTTCACCGAAACCAACTACAACGAGCCACATACATTGGTTCTCGAAAGATTTGACGAATGTTGTGATCCCACGGACGACTTGTTTGCAGCTTTTCTTAGACTACACGAACAGTCAACCATCAAGAACCTCAGCATCATCTACATCATATCACACGATATCCCAAAGGTTATACTGACATTCGGCGTCCCTCGAGTTCATTTCAAGACTTATAGCAGAGAGGATCTCACTATAATCCTACAAGAAAAGCAGCTATATCTGTTGCCAGACGTTAGTGCTGATGCAAGCCGAGAGTTTTGGTCTGTTTTCTCCAAACTCGTCGTGGATCTCTTCTTTGACTTCACCGGATCTGATGTGTCCCTTCTTCTCAACCTCTGTGAGAAGGTCTGGCCTAAATTCGAGGAGCCAGTGCGAGACGGTCGCTATCAACCTCATGAGATTCTCAAGATCTACCGTGACCTAAGAAATCAATTGTACACCGACAACATTATAACGAGCAGCTCTGTCGAAAGCTATGCGACGCAGGAGCAGGAAGGCGAATCCGAAGGTTCAGCCGTAGCTGACTTGCCTTATCACTCTAAGTTCATCTTAATTGCATCATACTTGGCATCCTATGTGGATCAAAAATTGGATCTACAGCACTTCTCCCGCTTAAAGCTGCTCAAGAAAAAGCCGAGAGCCTCGCCACAAAAGTCCTCCATAACAAAAAGCCAGATCGACTCCCGACTACTTTCAGCTGCATTCTTTGATTTGGAGAGACTCAAAGCCATACTTTCAGTCATTTACAGAAACGAGGCAAAGTCCTTCAACCAGAATAACCTGGAGCTCATGAACTTGTACCATGACTTGAGTGAACGTGAGATAGCGAGAAAGGAGCACGAGTTTGCCACCTTCACATTGAATCCCTCTGTTGACATCAACACTCAGCTTTCTACATTGGTCAAACTTGGACTTATAACAAGAACGTATGCCCTGGATATCCTAAGTCCCAAGATCCGTTGGAAGTGCGATACAAGCTGGTCCGTAATCTCCGATGTGGCCCGTGAAATCCTGTTTCCTATTCAAAATTATTTATCCGAGAAATAAATGATGATTTTTAGAAATCATCGCCATTCATTCGCCTGAAAGTAGTTTCACCTGTCTTTCGGACTTCCACATCTTCATTGAAGTAGGACTCTTTCCAATAGTTCATCTCATAGGCAGAATAAGGGCCGTGTATCTGTTCTTCCCCATTCCACCTAAACTCCCATTCTTTAGGCCCATAGTCGTCCGGTTCTTCTTTAAGAGAATCAGCCTTTCGCTTGATTCCCCTGTCTATGACAAACTCTTCCCCGGTCTCCTGTTTATAATGGCGCATAAGCTCTTCCCTACTCATCTCAAGCGCTTGTGCTATGCCTTTTTCGTTCATGAGCTCATCACAAGCTCCAGTGATATCATAAACTTTCTTCTTTCGTAGCTTCTCGTCCTCCAGAGCCGGCTGGCGCTTGCCTTTCTTCTTTTTTGGTGAGAGCCTCGCTAGGGCTTCTAAAGGTGTCTCAGACGGCTCTAGCAAGTTGATCACTAGAGATAGTAGCACTCCAGTGGGCCTTGTGGTCTTTGTCTTGAAGCCTGCTTCTCTCTTTAGCTGTGCTTTTTTGGCATTCTCTATATCGGAGCTCTTGATGTCTGCTAGCCAAGCCTCTTCTGTCTCCTCGTCTTCATTCTTTGGGATGTAATTCAAGTCTTTGTCGAGAATTCCCTGGTCGGCTTCCTCTCGAAGGTTGAAAGCTTCAATCTGAACGTCATCTTTTGGCTTCTCGACGGCTCCGTCCAATGCCTCAATGTTATTGTGGTAGTTCATTTGTCGTTCTTGGACATCAATGCCTGCCTGGCCCTCGTCAACATGTTCCTCGTCCTCCAGTACCCGCTCCTTGTCATACTGTCCTAGACCCTGCTCTCTCTCAAACTCGTCGATGTCAAATCCTGACGACTGTGCCGGCTTAGACTCTTCCTTGTCACTAGCAAACATGTCGTCATCGTCATCGTCTTCTTTTTCCTCGTCCTTCTTCTCATCTTCACTTGGTTCCTTATCTTCCTTCTCGGAATCGCTTTCGCCATACCCCTCGGAGTCTGAGTCATAGCCATTGAGGATCTCCTTGTGAGCTTTCTTACGGCCGTAATACTCTATGCCATTCTCCTCATCGTCGGCCATTTGCTTGGTGTAAGGTGATGTAGTTACTGAGTACTGGGTATAACTCGCATCGCTCATCTCGAGATCTCACAACCACATACCCCACAGAATGGCTGATATCACGCTAGATGGCGTTTTGGATCTTGAAGAGAAGTATTACGAGGAGGGATATACTGAAGGTCAGGAAAAGTCCGTGAAAGACAATCATTTAGAGGGTAAAGCCTACGGTCTACAAACCGGTTTCCAGAGGTTCTTGGTGGTAGGGTACATTCATGGACTCATTGAGATCTGGAGCAAGGATGACTCAAAAGCGGTTCAAAACCATCTCAAACAGCTTAAGGAGCTTGTGAGTGATATCCCGACTACCAACGGTGACAAGGAGGTGGAGTTGTACGAACAAGCCATTGGTAAAGCTAGAAATAAGGTGAGAGTTCTTGGAACGATCACTAAGACCTCTGAAAAGGTGGCCAAGCTTGATAGCCTACTAAAAGAGGTCGGTGGGCAGCTACAGGTGTCTGAAAATGTGGATGATATGTGGTGATCATTATTCAAAGTTCATCTATATGTCTAAAACATCAAATCAAAGTCTAATGGCTTGTCGGTAGCTTCGAGCAGGTATTTCAACACGCCTCCAAGGGGACAATCATTTATACCGATGATTAGTTCTTCGCCTTTTCCTGAATCCACAGGACATACGTTGAGGCCAATACACTTGCCGATGAAGTCGATCGACTGAACCCTGGAGTGTACCTCCTCGTTTTCTTTCTTCAAGTCAGACACTTGCACAACGCCAACATGGTCTAAGCTCTCGGCCCATATAACATGAGTTCCGTAGTGACTGAACTTGCAATTTCTCACTGGCCCGCCTGAGAAATCGTCCAGAACAACGGACGCTTGCGACCCCAATGAACTGCTCCAGCAGTAGAGGTTTTCTTGAGGATTTCTCCTATCCCATAGTCTGACTGTCCCATCTTGGTTACCTGTAAGTAAAAGATTCTCATCTAATGGAGACCAATCGCATCCAAACCCGTAGTCCTTGTGGCCTGTGAACAGAACGCAAGGTTCGAATGAATCGTGTCGAAGAGTTCGCTTGTCCATTATGAATGCACGGGAATCATCTCCAGTCATTATGAACTCAGCTTGGTTTCTTGGGTTGCTCGCCAGACAGTTTATAGCAAGCGGTAGTCTGCAACTAGACTTTTTCGTTCCGGTCTCATTGTCAATAATTCTGAGATATTTGTCGTTAGAGGCTATAAGAAGCTCTGTGTCATCTTTGCTTATGCATATGTGATTGGTAATACCGTCTGCAGAGCCTGTAAGGGTATATTCTCCCAAAAGTCTGGTGTCTTTGGGATCAGAAATGTCCAGTAAAATATAGCCACCTTCAAAGGTTCCGTTAACCAATAGTCTGTTGGAACATGCACAGGAAGCAATTCGACTATTTGCATTGAGAGGGAGTTTCCTTGAATCTATTAGGCAATCTAGCTTCATCGCCTGGGAGGATAGTATCTCGTCGTCGGGCATTAGACGATTTATCTTAAAAAAACTGTGGAAGGTATCCAGACTTTGATGCGAGATTGCATTCTCCAGAGACACAACATTAAGATTATTGTCGTGGTAATATGACGATGGATAAAATATTCCATTCTGAAGATTTTCTCCACAAATGACTAGATTCCGGAGCTGGAAATGCGTTATGTGATTCTTCAACTTGCTGAAGAAATTCTTGAATTTGAAAAAATCCGTTTTGGTGTGGTAAGATAGTAGATTAACGTTCTTGAGGTGTTAGTTGTGTCGAAGGAAAAATAGCTGTTGTACTTACGTTCATGGCATCTTGCCTGGAAGTGGGCTTGTTTCTGAACCACAGTTGACTACCAACTCTCGATCTTTCACTGTAGAATTTGTTTCGGAGACTTGGAGGCATCCATACGCCTTGGATATTCATATAGCCCCAAACCTCGTCGAAGGAAAACTTTAGCTCGTTCTCCCGCTCCTTGAGAGAATTTAGTATGCTGAGGATGTCCGCTTTGGTCAACGTGGACTTGTCGTCATACAACAAGTTATAAAGGAATGTGAGAGACTCCAGCAGATTAAGCTCGTACTCGTGTGAAGTGCTGGTGATACCTGGGAAATCTTCATGGAAGGCATCATCTTGCCCAAGCCTCTCAGAGGTCATTGAGACCTGCTCCTGTGATAGTTCCACGGTCATGCAAAATGGAATTATATGTAGATTTTAAAACACTTGTTTAATAAATGGACCAGTTCTAGGATGTTTTGCTCGTTGGGCGAAGATTTGGGAAGGTCTCTTTTGGCTGTTTAGCAGATCTGGTTTTGACAGCTCTGTCAGCAGAAATATTGAGACCCGAGCTTAATTCGCAAGGCGTTTTTCAGGAATGAGTGCCCTGTAGGTATAGGTTGGATTGTGAAAGGTAAGTGAGGGTTTTTGGTAAAAGGTTGTGGTTATCAGTCGTGGTTCTCGATCCACAACTCTTATTTCGCAGCTACACTATGTCGCTAGTTCGAGACATTTTCGAAGCTGCGACAAGATTGTGACAGGGTTGAGACACCTACAAAAAAGAATAAAAAGATGAAGCAATTTACAGAAAGTCACAGTAAAATCTCTAGTCATATATTGGAATGTTCGTTTCAGTGTTTATCATAATCTTAAATGTCTGAGTCAGTCAAGAAACCCTTCTTCTTGAGCTCCTCCACATTATAGTCCCAGGTCCTGTCGATGTACTTCTGCTGCTGAGCAATCTTCGAAGGCTTCGTCTTAACGCCGCCGGTCTCTAAGTAGCCACCGTTCTCCTTCACGACCTCAGGGTCCAAGGCAGCTCTAAGGGAAGCCAAGCTGCCCTCCTCACTCTTCACACCAATGGTCTTATCAATGACAACAGTGCTACCTTTGTAGAACCAGCCAAGCAATGGCAAATTCTTCCAGTGGTTGAAGAGCTCGGTTTCAACAATGACACCAGGGTGCACGGACAACGAAGTGATCTGAGGATAAAGCTCCGCCATCTTGGTGGTGAAATGAATGTCCGCAGTCTTCGCTACTCCATATCTAATCCATGTGAACAAGAAGTTAGGGGTACACTTGATCTTGTCAGAAGGATCGTAACACTTTGGTGTGGACGTGTGGCCGACTGACAGTAGCATCACCAATCTTGGGGAACCATCTACTTCAGCAGCCTTCAACTTTGGCAAGAGCTTGATGGTGAACAAGAATGGAGCAACAAAGTTCACCTGATACTGGATCTCGTATCCATCCTTGGTCTCCTCGTAAGGAACAGCCATCAATCCGGCATTGTTGATGAGAACGTGAAGCTTGTCCTCTTTCTGACTGAATTTGTCAGCACAAGCAGTAACAGACGACAAGTCACAGCAGTCGAAATGGATGAATGTAAGCGAACCCAAAAACCTCGTTGACTTTTCGTCGTCCGTGTAAGCCTCGACACGCTTTTCAGCCTCTGCCTTGATGTCTTCAATAGCCTTTACGACCTTACTTTCAGTTCTGCCAGCAACGTAGACAATGAAACCGTGAAGGTAGAGGTGTAAAACGGTGTACCAACCGATACCTGAGTTACCACCTGTCACGATGGCAACTCTCCTATCCTTTTTAGGGTCATAAAAGGGGCCAGTGGCCGGGTCAAAGAACTTAGAACGGGGTGCCATAACTCAATTGGAAGTGTAGAAAAGGGATTGTGGCGAACCAAGAAGTGAAATAAAGGATTTACTGTGCCGCATGTGAAGCCCTGTATCTCCGACCATAACGCATTTTTTGTATTGCACCAACGGTACACCCGATTGTTCGCGAGCCATTGTGGCTTAATTTGCCAACGTAGATTCGCCAGTCAAAA